TAAAGTCCATTTCAACATAACTCTAGATTGCTAGTAAGACCGGAAGGTCAACATTCCGGAAGGAACGCTAAGTCTAACAGCCTCGCTAAAGTTCGCTTGAACCCGCTACAGTACTGAGGACATCAAAGTTATGAAGAGACAAACTCAACTCTGGCCTTTTTGCGGAGAACAAATAGAAACCCAAGGGCGGAAGCCTAAAGGTTTTATGAACGTACATAAGAGTAGGGAGAGAGACAGTCATTGTATTCATATTAGCACGTGAATAATTGGGACAAAGAGATCGTAACCAATATACACATATATATGTATACAGTATATATATAAATAGATATATTCACATATACTCTTTTAGTGAAGATGAGCCCGGGAGGGCGCAGCGACATTCACCGAGTGACTTAAAGGCAAGGAATAGTCACAACGATCTAAACGACTCACAAAGAAAATGTGTTTTGGTCGCCATGCTGACCCAAAGTCGTACAGTGGGGTATGCTATAACGAATCTAATTGGTTCTAGAACCTTGTTCGTTATAGCATTCGTTCGTTATAGGATTAATCCGTTCCAGGCCCCCAAATACAACCACTTAACACTGAAAAATATAATATAAAATTGTAAAAATTGTAAAAAAGTGCATAAATATGCATCTAAACCCCTGAAATAAAGAATATCATTAATATTTGTAATAAAAAAACAATAAATTAGAAAAAAAATAAATAAATAAAAAATAATGTTCGTTGTAGGAGTTTCGTTCGTTATAGCATTCTCAATTTTATAGGTAAAACCGTTCGTTATAGGAATATTCGTAGTAGGATCCGTTCGTTATAGCATACCCCACTGTATAAGAAAATGTCCCAAATACCTGTACAATACTTGAGAGACATAACAAAATAAAAGTCACTCTACTTCATCACTGTGCTATTAAGTACAAATACTGTATACAGTCAACCCTCGCTTTACGCGGTTCCACTTGACGCGTTTCTACGTTTACGCGGTACCCTGCCGAAACCGGAATGCTCACTTTCCGCGGTGCGTGTACCCCTTTACGCGGAGTGGCTGGCGAGCCGCGCCATTTTTGGATCCAAACCTCCCGCCCTCTCCCTCCATCCGCCATGTTGTGTAAGCGGCGCGAGTAGGTTGCGCAGTGTGTGTCTTTGTTGCGTTATCAGTGACGTCATATGACGTATCGGACTGTAATTGGGCCATGCACCCTTACCTCCCTCCGCTGCTAGCTGTGATTGGTTTAAAGTAATATGACATGTCCACCTGCGGGAGGGAGGGAGGAAAGACGACGCTTGACCTAGCCGCGGCAGTTTCATCCCTCCAGGCCACACCGTGTATACGTGAATCCCTTGTTCTGTAAAATGGCTTCCGCCGGACCACCGCCCCCAGAGAGAAACCTTTCCTTACCTGGACCCAGCCGCCCTAAGCCAAAGAAGACACGACGTTCCTTAAGCTACGAAATTAAGTATAAGATCATACAAGAGTTGGAGAAAGGAACAAGACAGGTTGATCTCGCGCGCCAGCATGGTGTTAACGACTCTACGATCAGGACAATTAAGAAGGATGCAGCCAAGATAAAGGAGCACATGAACATCACAAAGTCTACAGGTGCTTCTATGATCAAGTATTGCCACAACCAGGTGCTTCTCAAGACAGAAAAATTACTTGTGAGCTACTTGGTGCGTCAGGCGCGACGGAACATGGCGGTGGACACGCGCTCAGTTAAGGAGTACGCACGTGAACTGTATGCTGCAGTGTCACGAAAGATGGGAATTGCAGAGCCCAAACCCTTTAATGCTTCCTCTGGGTGGTTACAGAGGCTTAAGAAGAGAAACAAGATCACCAATATCAACATTGGTGGTGAAGAAACTAGTGCTGACCGTGTTGCGGCTAGGGAATTTCCTCCGTTTTTACGTGAGATTATGGAGGAAGGACAGTACATCGACGACCAGGTGTTTAACATGGACGAATCTGGTCTTTTTTGGAAAAAACTACCTTGCAAGACCTTCGTTGTGAAGAATGCCAGCAAGTGTCGGGGTCGGAAGTTGCAGAAGGAGCGCATCACCGTCCTGTTTACCACCAATGCCTCCGGTACCTGTAAACTCAAGTTATCGGTGATCCACACAGCACGCAAGCCGCATGCCTACAAGAGCATGGACACGACCAAGCTAAATGTCCACTGCCTGACCGCACGTAAGGCGTGGATGTTCTCTACACTGTCCCTCTCCTGGTTTGATGACTGTTTCGTTCCCGATGTGAAGAAATTCTGTGAGCAACAGAATGTGCCATTCAAGATTTTGTTGCTGCTGGACAACGCACCAGGACACTCGCCCCTACTGTTAGATCGTCACCCCAACGTAAAAGTGGTCTTCCTTCCTCCCAACATTACGTCTATATTACAGCCCATGGACCAAGAGTTAATCTGTAATGTAAAAGCTGCATTCTCTACTAAAAAATTCAAGCTCCTGAACGACTACACCAACACCAAGGAAGAGTTGCGTAACCTGAGTGACACCAACACCGATAGCAAGAGCGAAGACGACGAGGATCAACAGTTGGCAGAGCAACAAGTACTTTTAAAACAATTCTGGAGAACATTCAACGTCAAGAAAGCTGTGGACTTCTTGGTGGAGGCATGGGATCAGCTGTCTGTAGCAACTGTTCGTCACGCATGGAGACATGTGTTGCAAGGCATTCCGGGCGTTAGGCAGAGTAAATCTGTGACTGGTGAGGTTCAGACTGTTGCAGTAGCAGTGGACCTTGCCAGAGAAGCTGCGCAGAGTGTTACAGCTGCAGGCTTCTCCGAGACCACCAACGACGATATCCTGGAGGTGATAAGGGATCCTGATGTGACTACCGACGACATGGTAGATGATGATGACGTCAGTGAAGAGGCAGGTGGTGCGTCATCCCAAGAAGAACGCCGCTTATCCCATAGTAATGTTAGGGGTGCCATCGAGTGTATCGAGAAAGCCAAGCTCCTCCTTTCCGACGACCCTGACGCAAACAGGTATGAAATCTTCACTACCCAGCTGTTGCAGACTATGGAGCCCTACATCAAGGTTTATCACGACAACATAAACACCAGCCGTCAGCAAAGCATAACAGAGTTCTTCACCCGCAACCCACCACAGCCAGCCCAAGCCAGTGATAGTGACAGAGGTAGAGACAGTGATGATGACTTTGAGGGATTTGTCAGGGAGGCACTAGTAAGTGTGGATGACACCGATGAAGACTCACCTGAGGGCCAGTAGCCTGCCCTCTGCCTCGGAACCAGCCTCCATTCCCCTACGCCGACCCATCTCTTCTACTAACGTAAGTGTTAACCCCAACCTTGTTTTTTTCTAACCTAACCTTCAGTTTATTCTTCTCTTATTGACTGTTCCCTTCTATATTATGTGTGGGTGAATACCATCATAAAGTTAAGAGGTTATTTTTAGTAAAACGTACGTATTGTGTCAGGAAAAAGTGGAGTTTGGGGGTCGGCCCGGTCTCTATTTCAATTAATCCCATATGTTATGTTGTTCACTTTACCCGTTTCTCACTTTACGCGGGCCGCCGTGGGTTGAATTAACCGCGTAAAGTGAGGGTTCACTGTATAATATCCTTGTGGAGGTGAGTATTTCAGCAATTAGAACACAAATTCGCGGAGCTTCCCTTTGTGTGTTTTATAGCTGAATCGCCAGGCAAGAGATGAGGTTCGCAGTGCGCATGGAGGCTGGTTTGAGGGAGGGACTTTCAAAATAGCAATTAAATGCCAGGTAGCGACGTGTCCTTCTAATATTACTTATTAAGTAATTATTAGATGTTTTAATTGCCTGTATGTTGGCCTGGCGAATTGGCTAGGAATTAACATACCTAGGTAGCATTCCTGAGCGTCACATTCAGAGCATTGAACAAAAAAACCCTAACCATTCTGAAAACCGAAAAATTCCAAAATCCGAAATGCCTCTGGCCCCAAGGATTTCGGTTAAGGGATTGTTAACCTGTAATACATTGTTATGGTACTTTTAATTTCCAAGTATATTAATTTTTAAAAATACAGAAGACATCAAACAAATACCAGTACGGATATTTGCGTGACTCTCCCGCCAAAAAAGACCAAACAGCTGGTACTCTCTCCCTCAGCCCTACCAAAAATAGCCCAACGACATCTTTCTTGTTTATTCTCTTCCAATTTCTCACTTTAACTGGTATTTTTTACTTCATATTGCCTACATCAGATAAACTACAGTAATTGAGGTTAGACACTGTTATAAATTTGATTACCGGGAACTGGCAGGATGCCGTTAGAACCACCTGACCCTACCAACAGTGTTGCAAGTCAGACACAGCATTTTTTTTTTACATTTTTGGTGTCTCCATTTCTGTTAATTTTTTTTTCTGTGGGGTTTGCACAATAGTAAACTGTTTTACCTACAGTATTGTAAAACTATTTGGGAAAAAAAATACTCGGTAACTTAATGTACAGAATATTCCTCCGGCGGGGCAATCCGCGTATTTGCAAATCCGTGTATGCTAAACCCGCGTATGTTAAGGGCCGACTGTATATTATTTCTCACTATTGAATTTTTTTGTTCAATTTTTTATTTCTTATTAGTTCTTTGTTATTATTATTAATGTTACAATATTATTATTATTATTGTTACCTGTATCATTATTATTTTATTTTTAATTGTGTATTTTTATTATAAATTCTACTTACTATGAATTATTATTATTGTTATTACAGGTATTATTATCATTATGATTATTATTATGATTATGATTATTATGATTATTATTATTATTATTAATTATTATTATTATTATTATTATTATTATTATTATTATTATTATTATTATTATTAATTATTGTTGTTGTTGTTGTTTCGCCCCCCAGCCCCGATGTGGGTCAATGACCTGTGCCCGGGTGGGCTAATCCCCCGAAAAAAAGTGAAATAAGCTGGGGTGGGGGTTAATCTGTTATGGTATATATTAAGATACGTACTTTATTAACTTTATTATAATATTTGTGAAAGTTGTTTTCATTTTTGCAGGTTGAAGTGGACAAGATTTGTGATAACGATGCAAGTTTAAACTTCCACAAAAAGATGGACTTGAGATCTTTATTTGAAAGTCACCTGGAGAAGCAGGAGAAGAAAAAGATGAAACACAAGGATGGATCTCTCAAAAATGATATAGCAACTAAGGATGAAAATACAGATAAGTTGTTTGAGAAATATTATTGTGAGTGGAAGGGAATTAATAAAGAGTCAACAGCTAGTAGAAGTAAAAATACTACTTACTCAATCATTCCCAAATTTTATCATAAACTTCCTCCCGAAGATGATCAGCTGCTTCAGAAGTTACGTGAGGAGTCGCGTGCTGTGTTTCTGCAGAGGAGAAGTAGAGAACTGTTAGATAATGATGAACTGAAGAACCTGTGGATGCTCCTTGACAAGCATCAGTCTCCCACAGATCTTGGAGGTGAAGAACAAATGATCAATTATGATGACTTTTTGAAGGTAGCACAACAAGCTGGACCAAAATGTAAACAATACTTCCAGCCATCCACATTCTGCAAGTTGTTGCAGAATGATCCTTTTGGTCGCATCTCCATCATGAACTTCTTCAACTATGTGATGAGGAAGGTGTGGCTCCACCAGACCAGGATCGGACTCTCGCTTTATGATGTCACAGGTCAAGGTTATTTAAGGGAGTCGGACTTGGAGAACTACATCCTGGAGTTAATACCAACGTTGCCTCAATTAGACGGCCTCGACAAGTCCTTCCACTCATTCTATGTGTGCACGGCTGTCAGAAAGTTCTTCTTCTTCCTTGACCCGATGCGCAGTGGTCAGATCAAGATACAAGATATTTTGGCATGCAGCTTCCTCGATGACCTGTTAGAGCTTCGTGACGAGGAGTTACCCAAAGATCAACAACAGAACAACTGGTTTTCTGCCCCATCTGCACTTAGAGTGTATGGCGTGTACTTAAACCTGGATAAAGACCACAATGGAATGCTGTCCAAAGAAGAACTTTCACGCTACGGTATGGGCACCTTGACTCCTGTCTTCATAGATCGAGTCTTCCAAGAGTGTCTGACGTACGATGGTGAGATGGACTATAAAACTTACCTCGACTTTGTCCTGGCTCTGGAGAACCAAAAAGAACCACAAGCTTTACACTATTTCTTCAAAATCCTTGATATTGATAACAAAGGACACTTAAATGTGTTCACACTCAACTACTTCTTCAGGTCCATCCAGGAGCAGATGCGTCAACACAACCAAGAACCTGTCAACTTCGAGGATGTAAAGGATGAAATATTCGACATGGTGAAACCTGCTGATCCTTGCATGATAACTCTACATGATCTCATAAATTGTGGTCAGGCTGATGTGGTTAGTAGTATCCTCATTGACCTTAATGGATTTTGGACATATGAGAATAGAGAAGTTCTTGTGGCAGACAGTAATGAAGAACCTGCTCAAGTATGACTCCATTGCCAACATATAAATTTGTACAGATATTGTATCTTTTCATTTTTTATTATATTGTAAGTTGAAATTTGAAAAAAAAAGTACAGTTTGATATTTTGTGGATAATTTTTCTTAAACTCAAAAATTTATTCAATTATAATCTTCAGCTTATAAATAAAGATGAAAGTTATATGAAATTTTGATTATTCAGGATAAAACAACATTGCCGAATGAGATGAAATTTATTTTTTTATATTACTGAAAACAACAACCTTTCTATAGAGGAACCATATTCTGTACAGTAATGCAGTCATAAAACAATTTACAGTACAATACACTTTATCATCATTGTTTTACATACAGTATTGTATTTAATGCTGCACTGACACCCCATGTCCCATTACATAACCCCCTGCCCTCTCACACCTCCCATCCTTCTCACACACCTTGTCCCCCACACTCCATTTGGCCCCCACACACCCTTTGGACCCCACACTCCCTTTGGCCCCCACACACACCTTTGGCCCCCACACACACCTTTGGCCCCCACACACCCCTTGGCCCCCACACATCCCTTGGACCCCACACA